ATAAAATAAAACGTTATAAATGAAAATATATATATACTATTAATTTAGAATAGGTAACAACAAAATGCAAATTGTATTACTGACAGCGATGCGACGCGCGACGTATGCATGCGTCCGAAAGACAGCACGTCTCGGACAAATTTCGGGTGGGCCGTAAGTCCGTCTGTTTCGGCCAAATGCCCTGGCTTTTCTCGACAGAAAATCTGAAGAGCGCAAAAGTGGCTCGTGGTGCGCGAACGGTTAAGGATAGAAAGCCCGTGTCGGAACGCGCGGTGTGTGCCAACTAATTCGTTCGTAGCGATCGTGGCGTAGGTGTACAAAGCGGTTTGTCGATTGACACCAACGATCGGCGTATATTCGATTTATAAATCACTTTGAAGTTTGGATGAGTCTGCGGTGGTGGCCGCCTCTCGGCGCAGCACTGGAAAGCGAACGATTGCGCTGGCAATTTGCGGTTATTGGGCTGCCCCCAGTTTTTCGCATGAATTTTACGAGTTGCTGGCCTTGCTATTCCTCCCTCCCCGCCACCATCCCGGTCCCAAAACGGCCGGTCTCATCGTTCTCGCATGCATACATCTCTCGCGCACCTCTCGGGGCACCTGCTGATTGGTCGTTTCATTAGCAGGCCGAATCTACCGTATAATCGCTTCTCGAGGCTTCGACTCGTTTTCATTGTTACTTCTTTTTTTATATTGGATCATACGGTTTCGAAAGTCGTCCTCTTGAATTGCTGTCCTAGGACGAATGGTACTGTCTGATAAATTTGGTAATTTGATGTTTCGGCGAGCACTGGTTTTTATTCGATAATTTAATAAAGTATAAATTCGCTGAAAAAATATAAAATGGATAATAATTTATATTATAATATTAATAATTAATATAATATAATAATAATAATAATATAATATACAATAATATAACATGTAATATATAATATTATAATATATATAATAATACATAATAATAATTCATATAATATATATTATATAAATAAATAATAACTTAGATAATTTTATTGTTATCATTCATTATTATTTTATATAGTGATTAGTCATAATTGGCACATCATTTTGTATAGTATATCATATATATTATAATTTATTATGTATTATTTTAGTCAACATTTTGTTA